ACTATTTACTAATCAAAGCTCAAATATTTAACACCCGTAACCGTGATATAATAATAGGGATATATAGAATGTGATAAAATAAAAGCTCAATTTGGCGGCCCATTTACGTTACAGGGCCCTGAAGGACCGACTATGTGTGTTGTATATATCAGGCGTCGGCAGCTCATCAGTTGATCGAATTTTGGGGCAATCGATTTACGTTGCGGAAACCCTAGAGATGGAGCTGGAGATGGAACGGAGATTGAAGAAAGAACACAATGCTAAAGTGAAAGCTCTGAAGAAACAAAAGGCTATCGAGAAAGCAAAGCTGGGAGAATTGAATGCAAAATCTAAAAAGAGCGCAGCGAAGAAGATAGGAAAAGAGGAAGAGAATCATGCCGATTTTTCTGACCCAGAAACTCCTATTGGCGAGAGGAAAAGGCTATCTTCACAGATGGCCAAACATTACAGTCCTTCAGCGGTGGAAAAATCGTAAGTTACCCTAAAACCCGCCGATTTATTCATCAATTTGATAACTTTGATTGATTTATTCACCATCTGATCTCTGTTTGTTGTTTTTGGGTGCAGGTGGTATGAATGGTGGGAGACATCTGAGTTTTTCAAGGCTGACGCGACTAGTTCCAAACCACAGTTTGTGATTGTTCTTCCTCCTCCCAATGTGACTGGCGCGTTGCACATCGGCCACGCACTAACCTGTGCAGTCCAGGACACACTGATTCGTTGGAAGAGAATGTCTGGCTTTAATGCTTTGTGGGTTCCTGGGTTTGACCATGCTGGTATTGCTACACAGGTTGTGGTCGAGAAACATCTCAGCCGTGAAACAGGATTGACAAGACATGACTTTGGCCGTGAGGAGTTCTTGAACCATGTCTGGCAGTGGACAGAGAGTAAAAGTGGTACAATCAAATCACAGCTACGTCGTATGGGCTCATCTCTTGATTGGTCCCGTGAGTGTTTTACCATGGACGAGCACAGATCAAAGGCTGTCACTGAGGCCTTTGTAAGGTTACACAAGGAAGGGCTTATCTACAGGGATCTCCGGCTTGTTCATTGGGACTGCTTCCTTAGCACCGCCATATCTAAGCGTGAGGTTGAGCATATCGAGATCAAAGAAAGAACACCAATCAAAGTCCCTGGGTATGAGAAGCCAGTTGTATTTGGTCTTATCACTTCGTTTGCTTACCCTCTTGAGAGAGGAGGCGGTGAGGTTGTTGTTGCCACTACTAGGGTGGAAACTATGCTTGGTGATACCGCCATTGCTGTTCATCCCGATGATGCAAGATACAAGCATCTTCACGGAGAGTTTGCTGTGCACCCGTTCAATGGGCGGAAGCTACCAATCATCTGTGATGAGATACTCGTTGACCCAAATGTTGGTACTGGTTGTGTTAAGATCACTCCAGCACATGACACCAATGATTTCGATGTAGGAAGGCGCCACAATCTGGAGTTTATAAACGTATTCACTGATGATGGAAGGATCAATGCGAATGGCGGGCCTGACTTCACTGGCATGCCACGCTTTGCCGCTCGTGAAGCTATCGTTGAAGCTCTGCGTAAGAAGGGGCTGTACAGAGGTGAGGAAAACAACAAGATGACAATTGGAGTTTGCTCAAGAAGTAGTGATGTTGCTGAGCCTATGCTAAAGCCTCAGTGGTACGTGAGTTGCAGCCTGATGGCAAAGGAGGCTCTTGATGTTGCTGCCAACGGGAAGATTGAGTTTATTCCCAAGCAGTACTCTGCAGAATGGAGAAGATGGCTAGAGAGCATATGCGACTGGTGCATCTCCCGACAGCTTTGGTGGGGTCACAGAATACCGGCATGGTACGCCACTCTAGAAGAAGATCATCTTAAGGAAACAGGTGCCTACAACGACCATTGGGTCGTTGCCAGAAACGAGGAAGATGCTCAAAAAGAGGCTGCACAAAAATTTTCTGGGAAGAAGTTGTTGGAGCTCTCCCAAGATCCTGATGTGCTTGACACTTGGTTTTCCTCTGGTCTCTTTCCCTTATCTGTTTTGGGATGGCCTGATGAAACCGAGGACTTCAAAGCTTTCTATCCAACGTCTGTTCTTGAAACTGGACATGACATTCTGTTTTTCTGGGTTGCTCGCATGGTTATGTTAGGAATGAAAGTGGGTGGTGGGGATGTTCCTTTCAGGAAGGTTTTTTTGCATCCCATGATACGTGATGCACATGGCCGCAAGATGTCAAAGTCTCTTGGAAATGGCATTGATCCGCTTGAAGTCATTAACGGTGTAACTCTCGCAGGTCTACACGCCAGGTTAGAAGAAGGTAACCTGGATCCCAAGGAGCTGGTTGTTGCCAAGGAGGGACAGGTGAAGGATTTTCCAAATGGTATCCCTGAATGTGGCGCTGACTCTCTTCGATTTGCCCTTGTATCTTACACGGCCCAGTCTGATAAAATCAACATGGATGTCCTCCGAGTTGTTGGTTACCGCCAGTGGTGTAATAAACTGTGGAACGCCGTCAGATTTGCGATGATGAAGCTTGGTGATGGCTATACTCCTCCTTCACAAGCTCTAAGCCCTGGAGCCATGCCCTTCAGCTGCCAATGGATCCTCTCTGTACTAAATACGGCAATATCAAAGACTGTGGATTCCTTGAAAGCTTTTGAGTTATCGGATGCAGCCAACACGGTGTATGCCTGGTGGCAATACCAATTCTGTGATGTATTTATCGAAGCAGTTAAGCCTTATTTTTCTGCTGAAAACCCAGGCAGGACCCATGCACAAGACGCTCTCTGGGTGTGTCTCGAGACTGGCTTGCGATTGCTGCATCCGTTTATGCCTTTTGTAACAGAAGAGCTGTGGCAGCGGTTGCCGTCACCGCAAGACTGTGAACGGAAGGCGTCTATCATGATATGTGACTACCCTTCTCCCGAAGAGAAGTGGACAAACGAGAAGGTGGAGACCGAAATGGACGTGGTTCTGGTGACCGTGAAAACTCTCAGAGCTTTGAGAGCTGCAGAGTCGCTAAAGAGATGGATAAATGAAAGGTTGCATGCGTTTGCTCTGTGCGAAAACGCATTGACACTGGGAATTGTGCAATCCCATGAGTTGGAGATCAGAACTTTGGCAAATCTCTCATCCTTTGAGGTTGTGTTGAAGGGAGAAGACAAAGCAGCCCATTCTGGATCGGCTGTTGTAGAGACTGTGAACGAGAACCTCAAGGTGTATCTAAAATTGGATGGAGCTTCCATTAATGCGGAAGCTGAGTCTGAGAAAATCAGAAACAAGATTATAGTAGTACAAAAGCAAAAGGAGAAGTTGCAGAAGGTAATGGGGGTGACTGGGTACGAAGACAAGGTCCCTGCAAACATTAGGGAAGACAACTTGAGGAAGCTCTCAAAGTTTATTGAAGAATTCCGATTTCTGAGTGACCGTACTGTTTCAGAGGCCTAACAAGGTAGAAAAACTATTTTGACAACGTGATGGAATATCTTGGGAATTTGACAATATATGTAGTTTGTTGGGATGATATTTATAGGATTGTTTGTTATGCAGCTACCTTGAGTGTGGACAATCAGAACTTAGAGGAGGAGGAAGAGTGAACATGGTTGTTGCTGCTTCTGCTGCCGTTCTCGAGTCTTCTGTGCACGATGCAACATAACGATAATTTATCAAACTTATGCTACTTGGTATTGACGATTTTTATGCTATTTAGCTTTGTAATTCTGCTATTATACCTTAATAAGTATAACGTTAGTTTTATTACCCACAATCCGTGTGTTTATGACTTTGGTCGGATGTTCTTGCTATAAGGAATGATTTTGTATGCTCGTATTAAATGCCTAATATTTGTATTCAACCAGGAGAAGCCTGTAGCAGAGCATTAACCAGATTCAAGTCATCGTCTTCATTGGAAATCCTAGAGACAGTACTGTTGCAACTAGTCATAGATGAGGATTAATCAGGTCGAAGTCCTAGAAAGTCATAGTTGGAAACCTAGCTAGCAACATGAGTCTGTTCGATAACTTCTGGTGGTCGGTCCGGTCCGGTCATCTCGTCGGTTCGCTTCCTGCATTTGGTGAGCTGTACATCCCTTTCTAAGATTCCTGACACTATCAATGAGCTCATATCATTGAAGGCACTATTCATCAACGCAAGCGAGGGGGATGAGTTACCTCTAAAACCGAGCTCACTGCCATGTTTGACTGACTTCTCAGCAGGAGATTGCAACTTTCTGAAACAGGTTCCGAGTTCAATTGGGAGATTAAACTCTCTTCTCCAACTTCAATTGGGTAGTACCCCAACTGAAACTCTACCATAAGAGATTGGTGACTTGCATTTTATACGCACACTTGAGTTGATGAACTGCAAATTTCTGAAGTTTCTGCCTAAGTCAATTGGAGATATGGACACACTCTATAGCTTAAACCTTGTAGGCTCTAACATTGAGGAACTGCCGGAAGATTTTGGCAAGCTGGAAAACCTAGTTGAACTGCGAATGAGCAACTGTAAAATGCTCAAGAGGCTTCCTGAATCGTTTGGAGACTTGAAATCTCTTCACCATCTGTACATGCAGGAAACTTTGGTCTCAGAGTTGCCAGAAAGTTTCAGAAACCTTTCAGATTTAATGATACTGAAAATGCCGAAGAAGCCTCTTTATAGGATTGCTGAGAGTGATGCTGCAGGTACAAGCGAAGAACCTCGTTTTGTAGAAGTACCAAACTCTTTCTCAAACCTCTTGTTGCTCGAGGAACTAGATGCTCGCAGCTGGAGAATATCTGGTAAAATCTCGGATGCTCTTGAGAAGCTTTTGTCTTTGATGATACTGAATCTGGGGAATAATTATTTTCAGTCTTCCGACTAGCTTTGTGGGGTTATCAAATCTCAAAGAACTTTCATTATTTGACTCCCGAGAGCTCAAGTGTCTTCCCCCTCTTCCCATGTTAACTGGAGCAGCCAAACCTGGCAAACTGCTTCTCATTGGAGTGTATTCCGACCTTTCAGAGCTGAAGATAATATTCTGCGGTTGATGAAGGTTCTTAGTTGTGGGAGGAAGAGAAAAGTGATTCTAGAAGCACCACTCTACAATAAAGATTGTGTTTTGGGCAACATTTTAGCTGCTCATTTCCTTTCTTCATCTGATCCTTCCAGAGCTAATTCCTACGTTGAAACTGCGGCATCCAATCTTGTCAGTTCCACTGTTCTTGTAGTTCATATTCTACTTTGGGTTTGGGGAAAAAATTCTTAGTTTAACTCCATTTGCTTTTTCTTCAGGAACAATGTACACCTTATGAGAAAGCGGTTTACGAGGCTCTTACATACCTAATCTCTGAGGACAGGGATGACGACTTGGCTTTTGAATTGCACACCAAGGTTGGTTCTTACTTCCATTGTTAGTATATCTGGAATATTAAACTAGAGTCTAGTTTTATGTTTTTGTATCTGGCACCAATACAATGGTTATGGTTCAGAATGTAAAGTTCTGTGCCTTTTTGAGTCATTTGTTTGAATTTGGATTGTGGTTTGCAGCTACTTAATAGATTCCCAAAGGATTTGGCCTCTTTGAAAAGGGCACAGCTTTTATGTTTCTACATGGGTCAACCTGATCCCTTTTTGGGTCTTGTTCAGCAGGTACTTAAAAGTTCTCATCGAATTGTTGGTCACTGAATGATTCACGTGTCTAAGACTATAAAATTTGATTGTATCTGCTTAATATTGTAGGTTCTACCTGCGAATCAAGAAGAAAGTTATATTCATGGTATACTTGCGTTCCCATTGTTAGAACTTGGTCGAATGGAAGAAGCTGTGGCAGCTTCCAAAAAAGGCTATGAGATAAACAAAGAAGAGGCCTGGGCACATCACTGTGTTGAGTTTCTCAAACAATTTTACATGACATTCAGCATTTGCATCCTTTATTCTCAGGTTCTATTGAACACTTACTTATTTGTTGCAGTTGTGTCATGTTCTTCAACATGAGTGTCGGTTTAAAGAAGCAGTGGAGTTCGTGGAACCACTCACAGAATCTTGGCCATCTTGCTCTTTCTTCATGTAAAGCATTTCCCACTTACTTGAAGGTTCTCACATATTATCAAGCTCTCTGCTTATAATTTAGAATTCCTGAGATTTTTTGTTAAACATGTTTAAAATTCTCAGGTATACACACAATTGGTGGCATGTTGCTCTTTGTTACTTGGAAGGAGGATCACCAATGAGTAAAGTAGAGGAGATTTATGATCATCACATTTGGAAAGAATTGGAGAAAGACGACGCTGTTCCTCCTGAAGTAACCCTCGTTTCAATTCAGAAAGAAGTCTATGTTTTTGCTTCCTCTATCCAACAATTAGCTGTCTGCAAATATTTAGGTTTATCTGAATGCGCTGGGATTGTTGATGGTTTTGAAGACCGTCTAAAAAACCTTGCAGTTTTTAATATTTTGAATATACAAATAGTTTTTCATTATTTATGTTAGAAAATTTTCTATTTTTGTTTTCTGGAGTTATATATTTATTCATAATATAACGGATTTTTTTTAAGTAGGGACCCTTTCAAATATGTTTTTTTTTTTTGTGTATTTGAATTTGTTTTTTTGTAACTCTAGAATATAAAATTTAACATGTATAGATAAAGATTATAATGGGAAAGTATCGAAGAGAATAAGAATTAAGGTGTTATCTATATATATATTTTTGGATCACAATTAGCAAATAAATCCTGAAGTTGAGAAGTATTTACAATGACATGCCATTAGCATTAATTATTTAGATTTGTTTTATTTAAGTATAGATTTTTAATTGAAATTCATTTCTCATATATTTAGCAAAAGTCTCTACAAAATCTTTCCTTATCTATTTAAGTAAAGATTTTGAAATCAAATATGTTCTCAACAATTTACCAAAAATCTCAATTGTGGCACGGAATGAAAAATTGTTTGAAAATGTGGATAACGATCCGTTAGAGGTTTTACGGTTAGCGGAAAGAGAGGCACAATTGTGGCACTCAGCTCAAGTGGAGCTTCATACTGAAACTCAGGCTTCAGTGGAATTTCCAAATCGGCCTCAAACGAGGGGGGTGTCCCTAGATTCGGATTTTACAGGATACCGTTGTTTTGTGGATGGATCCTGGAAAGACAGCGACAAGTTTTCCGGGATAGGGTGGTTTTGTACACCATCAAACGGTGAGCCATCAACAATGGGAGCTGCCAACCTCCGTAGAAGCCTATCTCCGCTACATGCCGAATTCGAGGCCCTCCTTTGGGCGATGAAGTGTATGATTGGTGCAGATAATCAAGAGGTAGCATTCCTTACAGACTGTTCTGACCTGGTGAAGATGGTGTCTTCCCCAACCGAATGGCCGGCCTTCTCAGTGTATCTGGAGGAATTTCAGAGCGACAAGGAAGAGTTCTCTACCTTCTCTTTATCTTTAATTTCTCGTTGTGCAAATGCAAAAGCGGATAATCTGGCACGAAAAATTCGTACGGAACCGCTTCATATCACTTATGTAAACAACATTCCACAAGAATGGCTCTTTTGAGTAATATTTAATTACAGATGACAAAAAAAAAAAAAAAAAAAAAAAAATTTACCAAAAATCTCTACACAATCTTTTTAAAAATCTCGACTTAGTTAACTTCTGATTTTTATCTGCAAAAAAAAAAATTAATTGTAACGAGTGATGTAAAAATCGGGAATGTTGATACTACAATTTCTTCTACTTTTTTTTTTTTTTATATAATGAAAATTATTTTTTAGGGATATTTTCTTAAAACCTCTAAACAAAACAAAGGGCTCTTTTGGCGGGTCGACCCGCAAAACCGCAACTCTCTACGGGCTTATCCGCATGAACCTGTGACCTGTAGTGGATAAAAATATTATTTAAAAAAAATAACAAATGATGTTTAATTTTACGGGACGGGGTTATATGGTGCAACGGGTTTAGATCAATATTAATATTAAACAATATACTATGGTTGAAATCCTAGAATTAAAAATCAAAATTTAATTATAAAATCAGAAACACTAAACAAAATAAACAATATTAACAAAACAAATACAACTTAAAATTTTGCAAAATAATTTTTAGTTATAAAAAAATCGACTCGCGGTGTACCGCAGAGTAAAATCTAGATTTGGAAGTTTAAGGAAGAAAAATCTTTTTTAAAAAATAATAGCTCTGCGGTGTACCGCAAGAAAAATCTTTCTCCTAAACTGAGGCAAGAAGAAGAAGAAAGCCAAATGTCGTTTAAGTGTATATATAGATATACCATTTAAACCTAAAACACAATTAATATACTCAAAACTATTAATATAGATATATGAATGGTACATTTATAAAATAGGTCAAAATATTATATTATACTCTCTATTAATAAACAAAACTAATTATATTTAGATTTTTTTAAAAAACATTATAGCCCCGCGGTGTACCGCGGGTTCAAATCTAGTTGGTTTATTAATTTGTAAATCCATATAGGATTTGAAAATCTCTATTAGGGGGTGTTATTGGATTTTGAAATCCTGTGTTATTCAATTATGTACTTGCAAAAATATGTTAAAAATCTGCTGTTATTGGATTTGTATTTGTTTGATGTATTCTAAAATGAATTAAAAACAACTGTTATTCAATATTCATTTGACTTGTTTCATTTTGGATTTGAATGTATTTTTACTCATAAAACATGAACAAAAACAATCCCAGCATTTTATAAAGTATTTCAAAATCCCACGTTTACCCCACATACAGGCATTAGACTTCAAAATCCAATTCACATATTATCTGTCAATTCAAGTCCATAAAAACCCCAATCCAATAACAGCCCCTTAATTATTTTTTTTTTTGATGAAATGTGAAATTGATTACTGTGAACAACCTTTACAAAACTGTTTTTATCGACAAGAAATAAAAGGGAGAACCATACAGAAGAAACTATCGTCGAACTCTAGAGCGAAACCACTCTTGGAGCAATCCTCCTAGTTTTTTGGAGTCATAATATCGCAGTGACGTAATGCGAGTACGGACTGATTTCTCAATGGTTTTTGCAACTTGTATGTGCGAACAAGAGCTTTTGTTGTGTCTCCTATCGTTACGTTCACGCCATAAATAGTAGATTGTAGCTTGAAAAGCTATCCGAAGAAGAATGGAACGAATCCCGGCTTGTTGAGGAGTACATAAACCAATCAATGTTTCATTCCAGTCCGGATCCGTGTGTAACAAACCTCCCGCAATATCCGTCCAGACAAGGTAAGAGAATGGGCACGCGAAGAAGAGGTGATCACGCGACTCGTCTCTCTCCCCACAAAAGACACACGACTGAGCACAGCCCCATTGCCCCATACGAACTCCCGTCGATAATCTATCATTTACGGCCAGCCATGCGATGAAAGCAAACCGAGGAACTGCTTGAGGGAACCAAATTACCTTAGACCAGTCCCTCTCCTCCCTACGAGATCGCAGCAAGTCCCAAGTCCTTGCAGATGAGAAGTTTGGCCTATAATCTTCGGAATAGTGAAGCCACAAGCACTTATCTTTCCCCGCGGCACTCGTCGGGACAACCACATTGTGTATTTGTTTCTTTATTTCTTCCAAAGTTTTGTCACGACAGCGACGTAAACCCCATTGAGAACCGTTTACCACATCAGATACCTTTGCAAACCGCTGCACTCCCAAGCCACGAATGCCATTGTCACCAACGATGTCTATCAGTCGTCCCATTGGGAGCCAATAATCAAGCCAGAAAAATGTTTCCTTACCATCCCCAATCTGAGTACGAATAAAACCAGCAGCTAACGGGCGTAATTTAAGCAGCTTCCTCCATTGCCAAGATCCTAGAGTTGAGATTTTGACATCCCATATAGTACCTTTGCGAATAAGAAATCGCTTCACCCAAGCAACCCACAAGGAACCGGTGGAAGTGATGATTTTCCAAAGCAAACTAAGGCCAAAAACTGCCGCAACTTCATGTAGGCGACGAATACCCAAGCCACCCTCCTTTTTTGGGACACAAACCTCCTCCCACGCTATCTTTGACTTAGAATGAATATTTGGAGAACCACTCCAGAGAAAAGCTGAACACATACTCTCAATCTCCTTAAAACATTTCTTTGGTAAAACAAACACTGAACACCAAAAATTGGTGATGCTAGCGATAACTGATTTAAGAAGCTGAACCCTTCCCGCATAGGATAAGTGACGATTTGTCCAGTTCGCTAGTCGGTTCCGTATTTTTTCCACAAGTGGCTCATAATCGACTCTTGACAAAGACTTAGTTATGAAATCAAGATATATGGATTTTGAAATAACATGTGTTTACCCATGGATTTGAATCCTTCTATTTTTCTCTTTCAATTCCATTCAATTCCATATAAAACATAATTTGGATTCTCAAATCCAAAAACAAATGAATAAACGAATAACACAAGATTTTAATTAGTATTTATAAATCATAGAACCAATAACACATGATTTTATTTAGGATTTTAAAATCAATGATTGAATAACAAATGATTTTTGTTTGGATTTCTAATTCCTTATAAAACCATGAACCAATAACCCCTCCTAAAATGCTTTTTTTTTAAAAAATGTGCAAAATATATACACCATACCATCAACTAAGCTTTTGATTATACCATCAACTAAGCTTTTGATTCTCCAAGAGATCATTCGCGCCAAAATGAAAAAAAACAAAAGCTTTTTTAGTAACTAATAAAAAGTTTGCATTGTACAACAAAATATACCATTACTAGTTTTTAATTTTATTTGCAATTCATTTTATCAAGTTAAAAGAATAGGTTTTATGATACAACAAAACTAAATATACCATTCATTCATGCTACAAGATCTAGTTGATAATTATATTAGTTAGAGGGTATGCAACAAGGGGATGAAATCAGTCCAACTCTCAACTTAGCCATGGATGACTCGACGGCTTCCCTCATCATCTTATCCATTAACTACGCTAACTCTTCTTGGTGCCTAGATGAATTAGCTTTGCTCTGCGATCTTAGATCATCTCTTAAACGTCCCATGATACATATCTTATATGGAGTCAATCCCTCCGATGTCCGCAAACGCGAAAGTTTTTTGACGAGGAGAAGATAGAGCGATGGAGGAGAGCTATGAATTTAGTCGGAAATATCCCTGGATTTGTTTACACGTAGGGACTCCATATGTCATCCATCTCTGGATTTGTAAATCATGTAGTAGAATTGAATATTGGTTGTGGCTGCTTGCAATTCATTTTATCAAGTTAGAAGAATGGGTTTTATGATACAACAAAACAAAATATACCATTCATTCATGCTACAAGATCTAGTTGATAATTATATTAGTTAGTGCCAAACCAAAAAAAAAAAAAAAAAGAGAGTGTAATCCGCAAAATCTTCTAAAGGAATCGAACCCGTTACCTTTGTGTACT